ATGCTCATTTATGCATTGATTTAATGAATACAGAAAGTGTAATAAGTAGAAAAATTGGATACTGTAGTGGCTGGATAGCACAATTAGCAAAGAAAAATTTTTATATAAGCTGTTTATTATGTAAAAACAACATAGAAGCTAAAGAAAAGCAGATATTTCATACTTATATAATTTTAAAAGAGTTTGAAAACAAAAACTGGTTGTGCTATCCTACCCGAAACCTATTTGACTATGTTATCAATACTGAAAACAATAGAAGTTTTAAAAGAAAATTGCAATAAAAAAAAATATTTTGACATATATAAAGTTAATCATAAAGATTAATTTAGATTTAAATTTTTTACAATGCACAGAACACCAAATTCAACTAAAAGAATTCATAACAGAGAAATGTGCAGTATTTTTTATTAATAATTGGTGCAAAAATATCAATCATTTAATCAATGGCAAAATTTCATTTTGGGATAGAAATGATGAAATGAAGGTAAAGGCTCATAACCATTTTTCAAAAAATAAAGATAGGAAGAGAAAAACTGTGTGTGGATCACTGATGAATGTCTGAAATAAGATGGTTAATAAAGCTACAAAAATAACAAGTCTTTCATTGAAATAAACTAATTGATTTATTTTACTCGCTCTAAACATTTATAATAGTTAGCATTGAACATAAACCATATAAATATGACTCCTGATATACTTGTTTAATCATAGCAAATAAAACGAAAAATAATCTGCGGTCTTACATTATGTTTTATATTTAAGGTTTAATTAGCCAAGTGTTTTTTTTTTTCGATAAGTTATAAAGGTACATTTGCTTTTTTTATATATGTATTGATTCTCAAAATGAATAATAACTATTAAACATTTTTAGAATCAATCTATATAAAAGAAAAAATATACCTATTTATCTTATAAAAAAAACACTGATCAAATAAACCTGGCTGTAGCTAGCTACACACATATACACGCACACATACGCGTGACTTTTTTTAGCTGGCGGATAGATGGCGCTGTAATCGTGACCTATTTAAAGTTTGAGTTTGCTATCTATTACCAGTATAATATTGTAATCTTTGGTAGGGATGATCGATATTAGAAAAACATCGATATTGACATCGATGTTCGATATTTATCGAAAACTGAACTTCGATATTGGAAAACATCGATGTTTTTTTTGAATAATTTACAAAGAAATAAAATACAGTGAATCATTCGAAATTTATTAAGAAACAAAACAAATCATTATATATGCCAATATTTTATATCAACTGATCAACTGATTGAAGGAAAACTAATTTTAATAAAGAAAAACCTTTTAATCTATTTCTTTATTGATAAAGACTCAAACAAGTCAACTTTTCTAAACATGTATGTGAAATATGAATTTCAATATGTGTATGTGTTACATAAACAAAAATTCGGTTTTCTTTTTATGAATATTTCGATGTTTTTCTTAATTTCAATTAATTAAATTGATATTAATATTAGCTAATATTAATATTATCTAAGGGGGCGTCCATAAATTACGTGAGATGTTTAAGGGGGGGAGGGGGGTCGAGTCAAATCTCATCTAATCTCACGTTGGAGAGAGGGAGGGTCTCGGCAAATATCACGCAATTTTTAAAATAAGGCTCGGTGCGGGGAATCCCTCCTAGAGTGACAAGTCTAAGGTTGAGATCATTCACTAATTCGTTGGTAGGAAAATAATTTCATTCGTACTTTGACATTATACATCACTCCTGATTGTCAAACCACTATACTCGTTTTATACCAAATAGCTCAATTTGATTTGAATTTACGGTACAATGTAGCTCGTCCTTTGTTTTCGCGCCACTGTCAGCTGAACATGTGACTCGATGAATGAGAGCAATATTGATTACTAGTCTCTAACTAGTCGTAAATAAAAGTACGAAGCGAATTATTTTTTTTTCTTTTTATTAAAAAAATCCAACGTGTTTAAATAAGAAACCCACATTTTGAAAAATCTCACGTGAGATTTGGGGATGGGGGAGGGGATTGAATAAAATCTCACGACATCTCACCAGGGGGGGAGGGAGGGTCAGAAAATTTGAAAAAACACCTCACGTAATTTATGGACGCCCCCTAATATTAATAATGCATTGGTCTTAGGTGAGGCCGTGAGTTAACATTGATGATTGATTTTGTTAACATCAATGTTAAGACATTGATTATTTGCTTTCATCATCGTTGATTATCAAAAATCGATAATCCCTATTTTAAAATATGAAATAAAAAACAAGTCCCACTGCAAAACTCTTATTCCTTTGTAATAAAAGCGAAAACATTGTGATCAGAGGGACTTCTTTCGTGAGACGAACTTTAGTTAATTTAGCATAAGTCATCCATAACTCATACATGCGAAGCTACCCGACATCGAAAAAAAGAATCTTCTTGAACTTTCAATGCATAAAAAAATCAGCAAGCAGTTAGTATTGTGTTCTTCTTAAGGGCAACTTAATAATTTTTGTTCTCAAAATAACCTATAAAATCGTAACAGTCATTGAAGTACGTTATCGGTTAATTATAGGGTACCAAAGAAAGCTGAAATCGACAGATTTAATTTTAACTTCCTTGGAAAATGTAAGTAAAGAAAAAACTATTTGTTTGGTTTAAGGATATAGGATATATTATTCATAAACATCGATGTTTGGCTAGAAAACATCGATGTGCCGATGTTTTCGAAGTTAAAACATCGATGTTTTCTAGTTTAACATCGATGTTTATTATACATCTATGAATATCGATCATCCCTAGGCGACAGGACTAATCACTGGGAAGTAAGAAACCGGTAGGGCCGAGGTGAACCTAGAAAGTTTCAGGTCCCCAACCTTTTAGAATATTCTAGATGTGGTATCGGCCCTTATTTGTACCCAGTGGACTACCAGTCCCGCGGCATTCTTCGCAATGGATAAGCGATCAAAAGCGAAACTCGAAACAATAACTAGAGCGATGAACGATCTAATAGTGTTGTGAAGCGTTATTAGTGACGTGAAATAGTGAAGTTTCATTATTTATGTAATTAAAGTCGAATTGTGAATTATAATTGACGTTAATTTTTACCCCGAACCCCTAAGTCGTATCAATCATCAACATCAGCCCTTTTACGTCCCCACAGAAGCTCTGGCCTTCCTTATAGATGGTTAAGGAATGGCCATGACCTTCCACGCTGATCTTATGCGGGTTGGAGGGTATTAAGGACTGCAAATGCAGGACCAACGACTTGACGTACCTTCAAAAGCACGAAGAAGCTCAAGGTAATAATTTTTGGTAACCCATCCCATGACCGACCTATGCGAAAGCTTAACAGCGTTCGCGGGCCGCGTCGCTTATCCACTACGCCACCGGAATAATCAAATAGCAATAGGAATTCATTGATTCAAAAACAAAATCTTCAGTTTTTTCACGTCGTAATAATACTTATAATGTTGGATTATCTCAATACCAATTACGGAGTTTCATTATTATATACACTTTGATTTTAATTATTTAACCTTCAAATAAGTAAAGCAGAACAAGCTTCAGAAAATTGTGTTTTAAAATTCATACACTTTGAGCTATGATGAGACATATTTTTCTAGTCCATAAACGAAATTAAAAAAAAAAATCATATGTCGAAATTTTTAATTAGAATCACTTATTATACTTTATAAATTCACAATGCTATAATAAATATGTGGCGCATCACTATTACATGCGCACATCACTACGCCTAATCCAAGCGGGGCGCGGTCAGCGGGGGACGCGCAGCGGCCGGTCCCGAAACTTGCTCCCAGTCGACCAGCCGGCAGCTCAGTGTGCATCGACATCACTTACACGCACCACCTATGTCTCTCATCGTCTCGCCGCGCTTTATTTTATAACCAACCAATACTCTGTATAGTTCCGAAGTATAGAAATTAATTTGCTATAGTCGTCTTTTACTGCCGATATCCTCGTTAGTAGTAGGGATCGTAACTTTACACCCTTAAATATGTTTAATGAAAATTGTTACAACAATCTACAAGCCCCAAATACCCTAAGATGGGATGGGAGTTTAAAATATTCGCAAAAATATTTATTTCGGCTGTTTGGGTGGGTTTCCTGAACACCGATTAAAATACCAGAAAATACGCTCACTTGTAAGTAAAGTTGGGTTTTGGGTAACTCAATGATTAGAGCAGACACCCGTATTGCAAAAGGTTGAGTACCCCAACTCAGGTTACCTCAGGGCTGGTGAATTTTTCAAGCATTTTCTACCATAAATATATACTTACTTTGACAGAAAAAAATAAAGATAAGTTGTCCAAAAAGTAGACATTTCAAAAATTGGTTTCATTTTGCAAAGTCATAAAAACCAAAGACAAGTAGTAAAACCAAGGAAATATTAGTTTATTTTATTGTTAATTCATACAACATTTATCATTAACAAACAATTTAATTTATCGATAAATAACACTCGTTCAGACTTTACTTTTACATTACCTAATCAAAATATTACGAGTATCTAAACTCTTATCTGATACGAACGCTAGAATCTATAAAGGCATTGCTATAAAATAAATATAGCATTTGATACTCTTATTTATAATCTAAAATAACACCTTTTTAATTTAAATATTTAATGAGTAATAAGAATACATTGTCATATTAACCGAAAATTATTAATTTCATTGATAAACAAAAGAAATTAAAATCAGGAAATAAAATTAACGCCATCTAGTGACTTTCAAATATCATCTAAATCTATTAACAGCATATCGGGTTACCAAAAATAACAAGTTATAGCAATCTATGTTGAACTCTATTGTCTACCATTTAATATTCAAAGTCAAATCAAGAAATTTTGTATAACCATTTACCCATTTAAAACTTATTTGAAAGTAGCCAACTTTTTTAAGCTCTGTGGAGGACTAGGAAATTAAAAAGAAAAAAGCCAATTGTAAGGTGTGGTGTAGTCATAGAGTTAGTACATAGAGTTAAAATGATTGTAGTCTATGGTCTACCGCCATCTTAGGAGTTAAAAAAATGTTTATACTTCTATTTATCAAGTAAAGAAATATAAGTACTATTATTTTGTAAGACGCGTTAACGTTTACCAATCACAAAAGAACCTTATGCACATGGCATAAAGACAAAATTGGCGCAGCAGTAGGCTCATGAGGTGGCATCCCAGCACTTCCAGCTATATCCAAATGCGTGTATTTAACATTCTTCTCTTCCAAACCACCCACTTTGATTAGAAAACCTGCAGCTAACTGATGATTACGTCCTTTAGCGTCCGTATCAATTTGTACAAGATCGTCACCTTTGCATTTTCCGATGTTAACAGCCAAGTCTTCATGTCTTACAACAGACACTTCTATCCCTTCTCCCATTCTTGAACCGCTGAACTGAAGTCTATTCGAATGGTTAGTAGCTTTAGCACTATGATTATCCATAGCAGCCGAATAATCTCCATAGCAAAGTTTCGCATGACCCGTCAGAGTTGCTATCGTATATATATGAGGGTTCAATTCTCCAACAGCGAGTTCAGCCATTTTAAAAACAGAATCCGCCATAGCGAACCTACCTTCAGCATCGGTATTAGTAACTCTTACTGTCTTACCACTCTTCGAGACGAGTAACTCATCGGCTACGTATGAATCTTCGCCTACAGAGTTCCTGCAAAGACACAAGACTCCAATTACCTTCAAATGTAAAGGTTTCAATATCGAACAGGCTTTCAAAAAGCCAGCAACAGCTGCGGCCCCACATTTGTCTCTCGACATTCCAGCCATTCTGCCGGTGATCTTGATATCCGCACCGCCTGTATCGTAAGTAACGCCTTTTCCCACTAGCATAAGAGTTTCAGATACCCTAGTAATATCTGATGGTTTGTATACAATTTCTACAACTCTCGCTTTATGTCTATCGACGCGATTAGCTGCTCTGTTAACAGCAGCCAAAAGTGGATAATCTCTTGCTATTACAGCTTCATTATCGATGACAGTGACACTTATATTGCTATCGCCTACGAAGGAGTTTTTCACATATTCGACAATGTTGGCAGGAGTCATTCTCTCTGGATCAGAACCGCCTATGTCTCTAGCCAAAATCCTTGCTCTTTCTAGCCCGATAGCGTTCCTCACTACCTTTTCGAAGTCTTGCGTGACTTTTTCTTCTGCGTGGAATCCTATTTTAGTGACATTCTTAACGTTATCCCGTTCCCTCATTTGTAACGGAACGTAAAGAGCTTCAAGAGCACCCAACACACCAACCAGTTGTCCATCGGGAAAGTCGACTACATTTTGAACGACCAGCAAAGGATTTCTTGCTCCTGCATCTAAAGCTCTCAGAACACCTTTCTTAGCAGCTTCTTTCACCACCCTCACATCATGGTACGCCGTTATATTACCGGTCGGGGACAACACGAGTCTGCCACCGGAGACATATTCGCAATTCCATACAGTCGGCACTTTTTGGACGTGTTTGTCTAATTTCAATGTTGTACTCACGAAACTGCCGACGTGTCTCGGAAGTGTCACCTCAACTTCATCAGGATAGAGTAATAATATGACTGCATCATAATCAGTAGACTGCAAATTGGTTTCGATGAAAATGTTCTCATATAACTTGAAGTGCTGGCCGCTCATGATTTCCCTATCGCCTTCAACTACACAATGAGTTCTATCTTCAGTTTTAATGATGCTATCATTGTTTTATCAGTATATTTAAGATAAAGAACGGTTGTAAACAGGTAATTTCTATTAAATTGTTTATTTATCACCATTGTTAAGTTGCGATTGCATAACGTGATTAATTGTTTTTCTAGAGACAATGGTTATTTATTAGCGGTTGAATGTTTGCGCAAATACTTAAGTATGTTCCGCAAATCGTTTTTAATAGACTTCAAAAATGAGGTTATCAATCTTCGATCAACAATACAAGTGAATGTGTATTTTAATTATTTTCTAGTGATATATTACTAGTATGTTGCATATTACCGATGTGTATTACCTATTTAATGAATTTTTGCATTCACAGTGTTATACTGGAAGATATTCTTAATGAGAAATGCTTATAAGCAACTAGCCTCAGGTACTCTGAGATGGAATTCGAAACCGCGACCTTTCTGTGCTATAACCTCTGAGCTACACGGTATCCAACAGGACTGACCCAATTTTTCAAGCACTTTTTACTTTTCGCAGGAAAATATACGCCCGGATTGCAAAAGGTCGTCGGTTCGAGTGCCATCTCAGGGTGGCTGGTGGATCTATTGACCATTTTATATTAGGAATGTAAAATTCAAAAAATTCAATTATTAGTACATGTCACAAACAGAAAAAGAACTTACAATGAATATACTCGCAACTACTACCAATCTAGATAACATTAAACCCAATATAATAAAAATGGATGCAATATTATTATACTCGTACCTAAAGGACAAATTTCCCTAACTTCATTCATCGCAGTATCTTTTTTTTTATTTAAATGCTTTTTTATTTGTTGTAACTTATTTTTTAGTACATAATAATTATTATTTGCTCTGTAATTATTAAGGATTTCCATATGGCCTTAAAAAAACTTAATATAACTCGATAATATATCTATCTTAAAATCCCTACAAATACTAATGCGCCTGGCGGCCATTTTGGTGACTTAACCATGTGATGGTACTGATTATTCCGGTAACAAATAAACACTGGTTGATGATTTTAATTGGGGTTGTTTTGAGATCTCGCACAATTTTTATGCTTTTGTTGTTTTCGATTGTTATTCTTAAGTTTTGTTGTTACTTGTTATGGCTAACTAAAAAAGCAACTAATATTATGATTTCCACAATAAGTAAACCTGATTTCATTAAAAATAAATGTATCTAATGTCTCTTATTTCAAAATTATTATAAGCGTTGTTTTAAAAAATCGTCCTCTTCTCTGGTTATCGCGTTATTACAAAGTAAATGTTACTTTAACATTTTTTTTTTGTTGTTTATATATGATAAATTTTAATATATATAAATTGACCTTTTCCGTCCATTCTTGTTATAAAATAACAAACTAAAAATTAATAAATATTTATAACTACAATAATTTGGTGATGAATATTTCAATAGTAATATAATAGTAATAATAAATAATTTATTTCTTGCATTTTTTGCTATCGGTACTTCCTATTTTCAAATGCATTCAGATATTAGTTAGACAAGGTTCCAGCGCATTAGCAATTCGTAATCTGTCAGTTTACTTATTATATAAAATGGACTCATTTTACTTGACATTGGCTAAATGCACAAGCCGTGCCTGCCATATTATACAAAAAAAATGGACTCACTTGGCTCTATGTTCTCATATAGCACCTCTATGTAATTGTCTCTGGTGTCCCGGTTATGTTCGAATGGAAAACCGAGTGCCTTCATTATTATCATGTCGATTTGCGGTGATTTGAGGCAATCGTATCCAAGTATAATACGCTGAAATAGATAATTATTTATTTATGAATGGTACACAAACGGAAAATAAACTTACAAACGTATTTAAAGTACTTATAATAATGGATATTAGACGCGATTTTTACACTGACCTGTGCCGACGTTCTGAGGGTGGAAGAAAATTCATCCTCGGATGCACAGATCGGCGAAGGTAAGTGTAAAAATCGCGTCTAACACCCTTAATAATGCAACGCGATAATATTTTGATTAAACTATAATCTAAGATCCGTTTAATACACCCTGAATATTATTATGTAAATTACAGCATTCAGGCACAGTATAAGTATGACACAGTATAGAAACTAAGCCTATTTGATAAAATAAATACCTACGCTCCATTGAAAGGGTTGTCGTTTTGAATGTTTCTTTTACAAAATATAAAAGGAGTTCTGACATTATCAATCAATCGAATTGTAATAACTAATTAACAAACAAACAATATACATACACATTTGTTCAGACGGTGATATCTACTTATATTATTCTATTATCACCACATGATATAGAAATAACATATGCGAAAACTGGGCGGTTAAAATATATTTCCAGATCATACAAAAATCTTATTTTTTATTTCATATAAGCCTACTCCTTTTCTTAATCTTTCCTTCATTTTTTAAATAAAAACGATCGCGGAACGTATAACGTGACCCCTCATCTCGACGCGCTACGCGTTACTGAGCGTCCTGTTAGGTCCACTTAGGGGGTTCGTCGGTGAGCGTGTTTATGTGTGCGTGCGATTTCGAACGCTTGTACAAAAAAAAAAAAAAAAAAAAAAAACTTGTAGGCAGTTTCACCACTGTATACTTATATTTACACTGTGATTCAGGGGCGCGACCTCCTAACTCATGCACTTAGCCGTAGTCGAAGCTATAACCTACGCTTTATGGGTGTTTCACATGAATCTGTTGATATTGTTTTAAAATTAATCGTTTTTTATTACGAGTATTTACATATTTAGTCAATTCTTTTGGTTATTTTGTTTACTGAATTATTAAAGTTAAAGGGAATTTACAAAAAATGAATTAAATGAATTAAAAAAGCAATTAATTTCAAATGAATATAAACAGATTCATGAAAAAAAGTTTTTTTTTGTAACTCTTGAAAAGACGATGGGCTCCAGGGCCTCACGGACCCATCGTTTCGACCCCAAACGGCTCAAATATGTAGGTATTACTTATAACTGAATGTTCTCGCCGTTTGAGGCTTTCTGCAGCTGCGGTGGCTACGCCCGCTTCGAAACGTGTTCGTGGAAGATGAGTTGGCGGCAAAGTATCAATGGTGGTGGCATCCCATACTAAAGGTCGACCCAAACTCTAAGGTACCAATGACATCCCATCAGGTCGCTTACAGGCGTCGCGAATCAGTCCGTTCATTCGGAATGGCTGGCTCTGACGCCGTAGCAAGAGCTCAACGAATGGTATCATGAATACTTGCATGCCGAGAGGTACGGCCAGCATTTCTGCAGCATGATAAGCCGTGAGGACTTAGAGTCCACCGTTTCACCGCAACGGCAAAGTTGGGAAATATTACAGGTGGCCCCTAAGCAAGAAAACAAGAAAACAAGGGGCAACCAGATAATTTCCCAACTAAGCGAAGACAAGTCTTCAGCAAAAAGGCGGCATCAGAAGCCTTAGACATAACCAAAAACAACATTCGCACACTAGTACGAGCACTTACAGAACACTGTGGACTGAAGACACATGTACAACATGGGGATCAGCAGCAGAAGAGTGTGCAGAGGATGCAAGGAGGATGAAGAAACACCCTTGCACATTTTGACTGACTGCCCGTCACTAATGTGAAGACGGTGTATCTGTCTGGGGAAGCATGTGATGCACCCAGACGAAATTAAAGAACTTACGGCCAAGAAAATACTACATTTTCTTGCAGAATGCAATCCTGACCGTGAACTGTAGTATGCGGAGATCACAATAGATCAGCAATGGTCGCAGTGTTACTGGGCTGCATTAACCCTAGATAATCCGCAACTCGAAACAACAAGCGAAGACAAACTGCAAGGCGGAAAGTTGTATTATCTAGAAGTGTTCCAACAGTCGATAACAGCAAAACTTGTAGCCATTCGGCAACAGCTAACAGACGAGCATGCTCTGCAAAATTGGCAGACGTCCCAATAGGTATTATATAATGATGACTGGCGCTTCCCTGACATTGGCCTCCTGACAAGTGCCTCCACTCCCCAACAATTACGATTAAGATATATTACAAATTATTCCGATATCTATACCAAGTACAGACGTTACAGCATTCAATAGAGATCCGCTTTTAAGATAAGTATATAAGGTATGATTATTCACTTTTTGAATTTCATTTCTAAGATACTTTTTATCGACAGTACAACTATAGGGTGATTCTAGACAAAATGTTTCTTAAAGTCAGATCCGTGGTAGGTAGTTACATTTGGAGCTAACCGGTAAAATCTAATATAAAGTACGTTTTTGATCTTAATGAGTTCTATAACAAACTTAACGTTGTAATGAAATCATGACCATGGAGGTATACCACGGAACTGACGCCAAGTATCATTACCAATACATAGAATCATTACCAATACATCAGTATTTTGTTTATTTTGGAATGTGCTTTTAACTCACATGTGGTTCATTTCTAGGATGCCCTTCTGTGTCCAGAATACACTTCCTGATTCCGCGTGGATTCTCGAAGACCATTACATGGGCGTTCTCTTTAGGTGGTGTGAGAGACGGGGCGAACTTCAGACATGTCTTGAACGCGAACAGAGTTAATGAAGTCATAATAGAAAGCGATTGATAATGGTCTGTGGACAATAGTTAGAATTAAATCATTTGTACTTAGCAATGCATATTATATTGTGAAACGGAAAATTTGCTTGGTTCTTCTTCTTTCGTTCACATCAACAACTGAGCGTTATTACAATAAGAATTTTACGTGTAAATAATAGGGATGATGACTGGGTAAAAAAAATGCAATTCTATTTAGTCCGTCAGTCAGATAATAGAAAAATATTAGATACGTATTTTTTTTATTACAATTTAACAAGAAATAGTATAGATAACAGGCATTAAAGTTGAGGAGTGGGGGCTCGCTGCGTCACAGTTGAGTAGAAAACGTACTCTAACGTGACGTCATGCGAAATTTCAAGTCAATGTAACGCCGTAATTTTATGATTACGAAAAAAATAAAAAAATACGTGTTTAATATTTTTTAACACTCTACCTGACGGACAAACAAACAAAAAATAGTCATCTTCACTATTGGGAGTACTTCTAGTTCAGATAATGTTACAAAGAGCTAGCACCATTGTGGGTTTCTACCCAGCTTTTATTAAGCTTTGAAATGTTTTGCTTTCTTTTTTTTCGGATTTCATTCGATTTCTTTTTCATTTGCATTAAAAAGATTTTCTTTTATGATAAACTATTACTAACCGTGTTCTATTTAATTTCCTTGTTTCATAAATACTCACCAAAATGTTCGGGGTTGATATAAAACGGTATTGTGGCATTCGGCCATGCGACGTATATTTGTGGCGATGACCAATCGGCTGTAATATAAATTAGGTATCATTGTTTTATAATGTAATGCTTGTTAATAATAATAATTTCCGCACATTGTTGCCTGACAGAAACGACAACAAAGATAACCCCCAATATTTATGTAAGATCACTCTTTTAACCGTGAAACTATGATATTTGTACACCCAGTCAGTATCCGCAAGACCTGGAGGCCAATTCTACTAAATGAAATTTGTTTATATCGAATCGAAAACGGATCGAAACCGAACGAAACTACAGTTTTTTCGATTCGATTTAAACAAAATTTGTTTAGTAGAATTGGCCTCCTGCTGTGTGCCGAAAACAAACACAAATGGCTACAAATCTCTCAGAATCACAACTATACACGTGTTTCGCCCCTCCATTGAGCAACCTCACGAGTTCTATACAATTCCAGCTAAAATAGAACTGGAATTGTATCGTATGTCGCTTTGTAGAATAAGAAAACCGTTAAAAACTGTAGTTTCAATCTGTTTCGATCCTTTTTCGATTCGCTTTAAACAAAATTTATTTAGTAGAATGCTGTGTGCCGAAATAAACACAAATACACATACACAAATGGCTACAAATCTCTCAGAATCACAATTATACACGTGTTTCGTCCCTCTACGGAGCAACCTCACGAGTTCTTACCTCATAGTGCCAACCAATACTACATTTTATTAACATTCAGTGCTTATAGCACAACATAAAAAAAAATAGTAAACATTTTCTTGCTGGTTATTTTTGTCCCTTATACATAAGAATAGTAATTTAAGTCAGTTCCGTGGTACGTTTTTTTCTCTCTACCAGTGAAATCTAAAATAAAGTAAATTGATAATTTATTATAGTATTTTAGATTCTGATAACAATAATTTTTTTAATTATTATTATTTTATATTTAACTTGAAGTGAGAAAAATTGTAACACGGATCTGAGTCTAAGAAAACTTTTGTTTCATCCGTGGTAACACACTTCTGGTACACACGAATGGTAATTTGTTGTAAACAAATTATGTATGTATTAAGGTTATTACACGTTGAAGTTTTGAATTTTGTTATTTATAATTTCTGTATTACAATTATCAAAAAAACTCCTTAAAGCTCATAAATATTCCACGCTCTCACTGCTGGTTTCTGCAGAGTACCAGTGCAACAGACGCCGGGAGACCTCATACTGAGTAGAACCGCCAAGAAACAAAGCAAGAGCTACTTCTTTCTCCATGTTTTATTTCGTCATTTGGAAAGTGACTTCATTAGACTAATTCACTTTCCATTACAATATCGGAAATAAAAAACAGTTTTTTTTTAATATAAACGAATTATATCCTAACTCGTGAATACTCATTGACAATGACAATACATATGGAATAACTCACTGTCCTCATTTAGTTTAGATAAAGTTCCTTTTACACAAAACAAGAATAACAAAAACACTTTGAAATCGCACATTGCGGTGCAATTTCATATAAAACTGTATGAAATTCGCATAAACTTAAAAAATACGGTTTATTACAAAATTTTATAGCCAACTTCATATTAAATTTATTGAAGCGTGTAGCAACACATACATTTATCAAACTGATGTTAAAAATAAATATAACTAAAGAAATTGTTTCAATATATAAGTGTGGAATATTCTAGAATTAAAATATATGGGTTGGTTGCACCAACTTATTTTAACAATAAAGTAAAAAGTGGTAAAACTAATAATTATAATTATAATTATACAATGGTTAGATGACGTTTAAGCTTATCTATATACCTACATATAAAACTAAGTCGCTTCCCGTTGTCTGTACGCTTAGATCTTTAAACTACACAACGAATTTGTATGCGGTTTTTAACCGACTTAAAAAAAGAAGGTTTAGTTCGAATTTTATGTATGTAATTTCGTTGAAATGAAGTAATATTTATATATCTGTCTGTATGGGCATCTGAACACGTGTGCAAAATTTTATAGATGTAGGTATATGTGTATGTTTGTCAACAGTTATCACGCAAACGTTTCTTTTTAAATTTAATTGCTTAGTTTTCAAATTAGTGTATACTCATCGAGTTTCATCAAAATGAGTAGTTTTTAAATTAAAGGTACTTATAAAACAGTAAATATTTAACCGACTTATAAAAGGAAGACCTTTATAAACCACCTCAAAAAATAAGTTATCCATTTGACATGTACATTTTTGTTAGAAAAACGCAATATGCACTTCTAAACACGTATACTACATTATGTTTTAGGTTTATCCTATTAGCATTACATATGTGAGTTTCTTTGTTTGGATGTTTGTCCGTCAATCACGCTGAAACTAGTGAATGCATTTTGATGAAATTTGGTATACTGATAATGTATTAGCTGACTTAGATGATAGGATACTTTTTATCCCACTAAATAGTTTCCTAGGGACCTCGCGGGCGAGTCCGCTGGCGGAAAGCTGGTATTATAGGTATATGTGTGTCTGCATATTTCTCGAGTATTTCGCGTATAAGATATTGGATTGGAATGATATTTTTTAAATTTGATTAACTATTCAACTTAGGGAACAACATAAAGAGAAAAGACCATTTTTTTTTATACCGAGGGGAACTGACCTTGACATGCTATCGACCTGGGCGAGAGGCCGATTGAATCTGGGCTCTCACACTGCAAGGGACGGCGGTCCAGTGCAGCGAGCCTACCGTGTAAAACCCCCCGAACTACCCTCTCGCGTGGTCTGGCACCTGGTATCTTAAATTAAGTCCCAGGTGGAAGCGCGACATGCCTGTACAATTACAGAAAAAAATGTTATCTGTACACAAATTATTTCCTATAAGTAGTTTGGTATCGTTAATCTATACTAATACTAGCCTTCCGCCAGCGGCTTCGCCCGCACGTCCTAAGTTCAAAAATTAGAAAATTCCATAAAAACTTTCATCCCCTAATTTACCCCCTTCGAGATCGAATTTCATAAAATCCCATTTTAGTGAGCACCTACGTCATAAAAAGAAAACGCATGCAAAATTTGAAGCTCCTAGCACTTGTAGTTTCTGAGACTTCGTGATGAATGAGTGACCTTTCGCTTTTATATTATCTACTAAATGGGTGAGTTTTCAAAACATAAAGTAACTAGTGGACGCCCGCGACTTCGTCCGCGTGGAAGTCGGTATCCCGTGGGAGTGAGAAGTTTTCCCAGTAAAAAGTACCCTATGTGTTATTCTGATGTATAACCTATATTGCTGTAAAGTTTTATCCAAATCCGTCCAGTAGTTTTTTCGTGAAAGAGTAACAAACATCCATACATCCATACTTACAAACTTTCGCCTTTATAATATTAATAGGATTACTTTATAAAAGAAAGGAAATACTTATTACCAATAATTCAAAGCAGTGTCCCCCCCTCTCTCCAAATTGCTGTGCCCAACGGGGTCCATAATGATACTTTTGTTTTATTTTTCTAAATATCCAAATACTACATTGTGGAATGCAATAAATAAATAGATATCATCGTATGCTGCTGACATAGGATATGCTATGATTTACGCCGGCGAATTCCCGGAAAAACAGTAGAAATAAGTAGTGCGTAAGTCTATTTTTCGAGTACCAAACTTTCCCAAGGTCCACTCTATATGTGTACCAAATTTCATTAAAATTGGTTCAGTAGTTTAGGCGTGAAAACGCAAAAAACACGCAGTTACTTTCGCATTTATATGTATATCATCATCATCACCAGCCCTTTTACGTCCCCCCTGCAGGGGCTCAGGCCTTCCTTATGGATGGTTAAGGAGGATGGGCGATGACCCTCCACGCTGGCCCAATGCGGATTGGAGGGTATTAACGACTGCAAATGCAGCCGGGACCAACGGCTTTACGTGCCTTCCGAAGCATCGAGTAGCTCGAGATAATAATTTTTTGGTCACCCATCCCGTGACCGACCCTTGCGAAAGTTGCTTAACGACTACGATCGCGGGCCGCGGCGCTTAACCGCTATGGCACCGAGCTACTCTATATACAATAAGATATTATAGAGACGATATTTTCTCTTATATCCCTTTCTTAATGAGAATCGTGTAATTCGTCCATGGTAATTAATGCCAACAAACCCCATCACCACTTTTAACGCCTGATAAAAAGTTAATAGCAAAGTCATTTGACGACTTCTGTGGTAGAGTTGCTCGAACCTTACATATAGGCAACGATATTCCTTTCTGTTTAATAAATTTTGTGCATTCTCTAGGAATATACCAATTTCTATATTACCTAAAACTACAGTGGTATTGGTATATTAAGAATAAGTGTATATTGTACTATTGACATATCAAATCATAAATAAATAAATCAATTCAATATCGACATATATAAGCATAAATAAAATAATCTGACTAAACAAGATAATTGTGCAATTCAAGAATGAAATGAAATTTAATGGTTCTCTGAATAACGGCTTATTATTATTATTATGTACTATTTTCCCGCGTAAATTATAGCTTATATAACTGGCCTTTAATGTAACTTACCGTAGGCGAGAGAATTCTTAAAATCGGTCCCGTACTTAATTCGGAGCAAACAAAAAGCAATCAGTATCTTCTCTTTTTGTAATATTAAAACCGCATTAAGAAGATTAAGAGATCTCAGCGTACAGAAAGCGGGAAGCGATTTCTTTTTTAATCAGTGTACAGAGCACATTAAATAAAACACAAGATTAAATACTTAACTAAAATTTATTACACATAAAACTAACTATACAACCAACTTCTCTGGCAAACCAAGAAGCGCTCTCACTTCTTTAGCGTAATTATTCACAGTACTCTCATTTTCACCATCATTCATCAAACTGGACACAGCATTTTTATACGACTCCGCATTCGGTATCTGAGATATATCATACTCGATAAATTGTTCGTCTTTTAAATCAACATTTTCATTTTTCATCCTCAAATACCATTGTACTAAGCTCTTCTTCGAAGCATTCTTATCCCAATCGTAATATTCCATGTCATCTTCCGTCTTATCTTTTTCCCATTCCTCAACATTCAACGATTCATGGTAGCAGGCAGTCAGTAAGTAATCTACATAATCCAAGTTCTGTTTCCTCGCCGGACACCTATCAGCTGTTATGGTTACCAGATCTGTTTTCTCATCGTACCGATCACCAACTAACCTTAAAAACTTATCTCTGGCATGCTTATCTAAATTTAGAGTAGCCAGTTTTACACGTAACGTAACTATTCTCGCTAAAGGGTTCCTTATTGACGGACTGGCATGACAATAATCAGATGTTATAACTTCTACAGGATAATGTTTCTCAATTGCCTCTTCAGAGTTTAATAATTTTGGCCATTCTGTGCAGTACTGCTTTATAGCTTCGCATTGAGCTTTGACTACTGGTGGTGTAAGGTGTAGGAAGTTCGGTATCTTCATCAACTCAGCATTGGCCTTCTTGCCCGGTGGTGCCTGCCCTTTTGGTACGTAACCTTGCCGTATGGGTAAAGGCACCGATGATGGGTGGAAAGTCTTTGGTCCTGGCCATACGTTACCCCAATTCTAAAAACAGTACATGTATTTTAAAACAACATCAATAGGACAATCGAGAAACTCATGACAGACAAAGAAATAACAAGATATATTGCATCTGGTACATTTTGTAGATCTTTCAATACAAGTAGAGCATTCAAAGTTTTTGTAAATTCTCTTACTGTTTGAGAATTCAATTATGATTTAGCTTCTATGTTAAATTAATAATTATTGATCACAGAAAAGAGTACTTTCATGAAATATTTACTATTAATTACTTTGGCGGCCGACAGATGACATATTATTGTTGGTGTTCTAAGATTTCACTGTTTCTAATATGAAATACCAATAAATTCATCGGCAAAAGCTACCTACTGCTTGCCTTATATTAATCATATACATACCATTCATAATCGGTTAACTTACTTGATCAACGGCCATCCTATCCGCTCTATCGGGCTGGACATCGTTTCTTCTCGCGACTTTCTTCTGCACTTTATCTCGTTTCTTCAAAATATCAAGAACACGGAATTCCTCCTCTTCCTCCCCTTTTTTGGCCGCTACATCCATGCTAGTCGAGTTTAATCGCCAAATCCTTAAATTAAAGCTCGATGTTATGCCATTCGATCGACAATGTTTAATAATTAAGCTCATTTTATTGGATTTTTGGGAAATCAAAATAAACGCAAACTATAAAATCATTTTTAGGTTATAAGAAAACCATTGACAAAACGACAAATGCATTTGACATTAGCATCGTCAATCTAATCCATAGATATAAGGAAGAGAGGGAATAGCAACTTTGGGCGAACACAAATATCATACAATCACACCCATTCTAAATCGGTAAATGGGTAAAGAGATTTCAATAAGGGTTCTTCTTTCTTCCGCTGTAAGAGAGCATCGTTCTATAAGATAAATAATAATATCGGTAAATCAGTCGACCAATGAGGAAGTATTTAAAAAAAATAAAGAACCTACAAAAATTTATGTCACTAGATGGCAGCACAAATTGTTGGATCTAAACGTCAATTCATGATGGTAAACCAAAGAGAATAGAATTGTCAGTGTTGTATGGATCTGATAACTCGGATTAATATTGAGTTGAAATTTAATTAGTTCGAGTTATGCAAAAGCAACTCGGTTAATACAAAGTAATCTTTGAATAAATTTCTTTTTTATTGGTATAGAGGAAAATGGAAACTAACATAATGCAAATGAGCACAGAGGTTTTTTTAAATTTATGAAAATCAATTGAATTAATTCTGTGATATAATTAAAAGTGGCATTTAGCTACGGTATACAATAATATTACCGCCAAATAGTTTTTATAAATAAAATACTTGTGCCATAGTAGGTCTAGGAATTTTTCATAATAATATTTAACAAAAGTTCTGAAAACAATAACAACTAGGTAAGTTAGTTTTATTGCTATTAGTTGTTTGTTGAACTTACAACAAAAAAACTACATTTTAATAATATATTATGTATGGTGAATAAATTATATCAGTGATGAAAACGATAATTATGATAAAATACGTTTATAATCTATATACTTACCCGATATGTATCAAATATAATAGGTATTCGTACAAAATAACATGATTTCTGGCTAAAATTATGTTTGTGCTAAGTTAAACGTACAAATAACTTGTGCTTTCGAAATATTACATTCATACTTAAATCATCTAAATAAACATTCAGCAATCAACAAGAAACGTCTGTTCTAAACGAACAGCAAGGTTATAACTTTAAATTTCAAAATCATAAAGACAGGTACTATTGCTACTGATCTTGCATGTCGTTTTGTGGATGCATAATGACACATACAAATACAAACTGAAATCTGCGCTCCGCTTTTTGTTTTTCATTCCAAACCTGAATTCGGATTAAAGTTACGAGCTACAAATAAGTGTGCCATCACTAATGTTGACGTATAAACCAAACATCGTTCCTTTACACGTAACACAATAAACAACTTACGATTAAAATAAATTTGAAAGTAAGATATTATAACAAACACAAAACGATGTCATTTTTATTAATTTTAGATACTCAATTTACTTTTATTACATCAGAAATAAAATTTTGAATGAATGTCATAAACAAAATCCAAACATCGTGAGTGACATCTAGTTTGATTTCAAGAACTAATTTTTATTTTTTAAATACTTCCTCATTGGACGGGCTATCCCTTTATTTGAATGGCGCCATTCAATTAACAGACTGACTTTCGATCAGTCGAGTAGTGGAACCAAACGTTCTACAATACGGCTGATCAAAGGTAAACCAACTAATTAACTGTCAATTCATAGAGAATACCGATTGATAGGATTAGAAGTAAAACCAAAAAATACAATAGTGGGTGATTTTATTTAAAACTCAAAGACTCCTTATTAAGATCTGTTATTAATACATTTGTAGGACTAATCAAGAAGATTCAGTCATAAATAAGCAATTTATTATTGACTGAGATAATAACAAATTCCTTATTCACGACTGGATGTTAATGGTCCGTATGAAAACACTGTTGGGGAAATAAGAGCATTATGGTGTGACAAAAAATTCACTTAATCTAATATAATCATATCTTTCTGCTAGAATTCAAAAATTAGTTATTAATGAAGCGAAATCTGCAGGGGCACCCATTACTATGGGCGTCCCTCAGGGATCGATATTGTGTCAGTGCGTTATTAAATGTATGTAGGAAACGAAAATATCCATGAACTTTAATGGTTACCTACCAAAGAGTGCAAAAAAAATTATACGACTGACAACCGATTTAGATTCAAGCGTAAAAACGAGTCAAGCACGTCACGCTTAAATTATGCAATGTATGTGATTAGTTTTTTTATTTATGTTATGCCGTAAGATTTTCATTTAAAAAAACATGTGCTCTTTGGCACAAGGCGCATTTACACGCACTAGAGCCATGCGTGTATTGTATTATCTTTATTTTGTCCTCTTTTACTTTCACAATACGACGTTGAGCATGATGAACCCCAGAGATGAGTAAGATATGCCCCATACTACTTATATCTAAATTTTTTCTCGTTTCTCGAGATCATGATTGAACGCGTGTGCAATTATTATTCTAATGTCTTAACATCTCTGTTAATTTAACTCAAGTAAGGTTAAAATCAAGTACTAAAATCAATATAACCCTTTTCTTTTAATATTTTGAGGCAATAAAATAAAACAAATAAAAAGAAAAATATATTTTATTACATTAAAAAAATGTGGATAATACTTTCACATACATTAAAAATTATGAATTATCCAAATACAGATTCATACTTGATTAGTGTCCGATACTGAAAAACCGGTAGTGGCCATAACCGGTATAAATTGGCCAATACCGGTATTGACTAAAATCGGGATCCCGGTATTAGAAACCACTCTAACTTTAGTATTCGATTTATCATTCAGTATATTATATTTATATTTCCAATATTCAATATTATAGATTCAATGAGTAAATAAAAGGAAACTTCTAAAATAAACGTCATTAGATGGCGATAAAACAGACGGGACAGTAATTCTCGTTCCTTTAAACGTAACAAATAACTGACATTGTGTTTTTTTTTTTATTTAATGGGAAAGTGTTTAAAAAAGGCATTAGTTCCCGAAATCAAACTAGATGTCGGTACAGTACTTTCTTGATTTTTCCATGACAACGCCTCTGATTTTCTTTCGTATATAAAAGTAAATTGATTTTCAAAACTCAATAAACAACTCATATTCTATTTGTACTTTTTCGTATGTATTTGTATTGATATGTAAATTTCGAACATTGCATTTTTTTAATATGTCAGTTAAAAGGAACGGAAATCACTCTCTTTGGTTCATTCATTTCCTGTAAAAATCAACTTTTGCTAGAGTCCCCATCTAGTGGAGGTGCTTTTTAGTGCTTTCTTATTTTTAAATACTTCCTAGGACGAAATAAACGGTGTGGTACGATACGATATTACAAATTATAGGTTCATACAGCAAACACCCGCAAGCTGTAAAACGACTGCGATATAAGTTATTATATTTCATCAATTTTTCATTCACAACGCTATACTAAAAAATATTCTTATGAAAAATTTTGTATTTGTATGTTGAGAGTAATCTGATGAAAATTCTTTTAACTATGGGAAGCTACATCGTACGCGGGCGACACGGGCTATAACTTACGCGGGAGGACTCACGTGTAAACAGCTAGTCTACCAATAAAAATGACCCTTCACTCGCCATCTTGTCTTCCATCATATACCACATACGTCCCACCTTTCTTTCTATCTACCTCCTCCAAATCTTTACCATCATCAAGCTTCATAATTTTCATCACCTTATTCATAAAACAGATTTTCCTGTTGTGTATCTTTTTCATATGTATACGAACATCCTGGAACTTTCTGAAGGGTTCATGACATAATGGACAGTCGGCACGCTGCTTCCTCTGCTTATGGACTACCCACATATGATCCCATTTCTCTTTTAACGATTTAAACTTGCATTTACACAAAGGGCACGTGTGAAAGTAGTTCTGTTTGTGCGCAGATCGCATATGACGTCGACCCAATGAATCTGCGTAGAACACTTTAGAGCACACTTTGCATTGCACCGGTTCCGTTTTATTGTGTACCTGTGCAGAACGTTGTATTTTTAAGACACGGGACGTTGCTCGAAGTAGTCTTAAACTAATTTGAATTATTACTAGTTTTGGGCATAATTGTTCGCAACTGAGATCGACGAACGAGTTAGATCATAACTCCTAAATAAACTTAGGCAGAAGACCCGGTTTTAGCCACTGCCCCGGTTTTGGCCATTGCCCCGGTCTTGGCCACTGCCCCCATTTTATAGCCATTTTAATCCATTAGTTGGAGCGCAAATAAATTTACAATATATTGCATAACAAAAATAAGATCATTGTAAACTCAGCTACACTGGCCACAACATAAGGCATGTTACTATAAATACATATGAAGCGGAACTTTAAAGCGTTCTAACTAACGCATAGGCAAAAATATATTACTTTAATGTAAACGGTTTTTATAATGTTGCATTATAGCAAAACTAACCGCGTTAAAAGTTATGATGTTAAAAAAAATATTTTCTATTAACTCTGAAAATTGCTAAAGCCGGGTCACCTGCCCTAGTTCGCTCTTAGAGTTCGTTAGTTCGTGTAGATTTCTAAAACTTCGCTCTTTACAGCAGAGACAATTTTATAACGAGCGAACATTCGTTTTTGTAGTCTAACATGCAGTTGACTGCACACTCATTAGGCCTTGGGAAAGAACATTTAAAGCGAAAATAGGTGTTAAGGATTTCCACGCGGGCAAAGCCGCGGGCAGAAAGCTAGTTTTTAAAGTCGTAAACAGACGGCTAAGATGCTATAATATGATATCTTAAGATAAAACATTGTTCGGCTTATATTCCAATGGTCCAATACACACGGTTAAGATAATATAACTTAAAATTAAGTATCTTAAGATGCCAAGGGATACGGATATATTTCGTAGGTCAAGATAGTATCTTAAGCTACGAATAAAGGGAATTTTAAGATACGAAATATTACAGTATTTATATTATCGTATCTCAACTGCGTGTGATACCTTAAGATGTTAAAATAGGATATCTTAAGATGGAATATTATAAGCATCTTAACCGTCTGTTATGTTATGAGCTTTGATAATAATATTTTTTATTATAGAACTTACCTCTTCATGCTTCTTCAGCTGGACTTCGCTATAGAACTTCTTTTGGCACAA